CACTTTATGTTCATTTTTATGTCCCTTTTTTAGTACATTTTGGTACTGTTCACTCATCTGATGCTGTTATTAATTTTATTTAATGATCTATTTTTTAATTTTCTCTTTATAATATACTTTAAGTACCATTCCATTTAAATATCTTTAGCCAACACAAATTGTAATAAGCCATATATATGTTTGAACAACAATGTAATGCATATAAAATGCTTTTGCATGGTGTATACACATTTCTAAGAAATATACGCCTCCTCTGGAGGGTTACTACAGAAGAGAAAAAAATATATACACACACACATATATATATTTGTTTTACAGTATGCAGTGTAAAAATTTATTTCCTCTCTCATACACTAACTCATTCTTTTTTAAAATTTATATAATACTGGCAGGCCCGTGCGAATAATTCTCACAGTATATTGTTCAGTGATCAAATGACAAATTAATAATAAAATAAAATAATGCAACGTATCATAAGAGAGAGAAATCAATTGTCCGATTTCGAAGATTTTTTTTTCCTCTTTTAGGAAATATAGTAATCTTTCATATAACTATGGATATAACGGACAAGAGAAAATTGTGTAATTTTTTATTTATTCGCAAATATAGTTTCTTTTCTTTCATAATGTTTTTACCTAAATGTTCGGGGTGATTGGACTATTTTTCTCGCCTGAAGCAGAAGAAAACCTTCAAAATTGGTGGCTCAATCTCGGAATTTGATAAAAAAAATTAACGATGATATGGCTTACCAACAAAAACAAACCTTTGATAAACAATGTAAACTCCTCTCGCAATCATAGGGACTCCATGTCGACGAAATGACACATGTATTTCATGACAGTACTTAACGTATTATCAACGAAAATTAACATAAGATTGTGGGGTTGCGAATTCTTAGCCTATCATTGTTTCAAAAATAGTACGTTTTTTTCTTAAGAACGCAGGAGCTATCCGGGTCTTGGTGTACGCATTAAAATCCTCAAAGCCCAAATTGTATCTATCCTAAGTAAATTGTATCCAATAAATTGAATATTGTCGTTGTAGGGAACTCCTATTTCCATTATTGCAGCCTTCCTTTCTTTTTTACGTGTAACCGGAACATCAATTGATCCAGCCAATAGCTGACCATAAAGGACTCAATGAATCTCCCTGAAATATGCCTCTTCTGATAGCTATTGGTGCTCCTCCTGAATTGCCCTGTGGTACCGAGATGCACACCTTCCACTTGTCATCAGCCTCTTTATCAAGTCGATGATTTTGTTATTGATCTTATAAATTTTAAGAATCTCAATCAGCCTGTTATGCGGTACAGAATCATAGGCTTTTTGAAAATCAATCCAAGCAACATTGAGGTTTCTTTTTTTCTTAGAGACCTGCGCACCTATGAAGGAGTCGATTATCAAGAGCTCTTTATATCCTTTAGAACCAGTTTTACATCCAAGCTGTTCACCTGTCATAATGTTATTTTCGTTGATATGAACTTTCATTTCCTAACAAATAATTGATGTAATTATTTTATAGGTAATTGGCCTATAATCTTTTGGTTCATTTTGTTAATTTTCGTCCGGAAACATGCATGTGGGTGATTCCAAGACAAATATCATTCTGTATATTGTTGAGTATTTTATTGTATCATCTAGCTAGGGCTCCGTCCACACAACTAAAACTCTTGATCTAATAATTATAAAATTTATCAGGTCCTGGTGCCTTCCATTTTTCATCCTTTTTACAGTATATCTACATCTTCCTCAGTAAAATCAGAAATCTCCATGACAGCTATATTCTCCGCTTTTGCTCTGACATTCTCAAGCCAAAATGCTTCTTCTTTATAATTGTTGGGATTTTCCCAAATATCCGCCTCAAAGGCTCTTATGTTGAATGAAGCGGTGTTTTTTAGAGTAATGTTTTGTAGAACGCTTTCTCATTTGATTGAAACAATGCATTTTGTTCCCTTCTACGCTCCGCCTCTGTATAGCTGCTTTCCCAACTAGCATCAACGGCTAATTTTTGCTTTAAATGCTGTAATTGTCGAGGAGTGAGATTAGCTAACCATATCACATTTGTCAACGGTGCCAATACTTAAAACAATGATCTCGTCTATCTAGGTTTTAACTTTTATTGAACATTTTTCTGGATTGCTTAAATAACTTGTTATAATTCCATTGTTACGACGTAGAGCCTCAATTTTATTCGTAAGCTTTCTCTTCCACGGAAATGATTTTTCCTTGTATTTGAGGTCACGGTTCTTTGTTTGTGCCTTCTCTTTAATCAATTCCAGCCATTCTCCCTCCAATATAAATCCAACGCCTCATCACATCCAGATCTGTGTCATCATTGATAAATTGTGCCATCTCATCATTGTCTATTTTAACTATATTCTTAGTCTTTATACAATATGGTACTCTTGGAAGTGTCGGTCTGCATTCTAGTGGTAAACCTTCAAATTTAGAGTTTTCAGCCAATAGCAACTTACGGATTTCATTACAGTCATCGGTCGGAGTTGTATCTTTTTCTTCTTCCTCTTCCTCAATCACATTTTGTTTAATTTTGTGCACTGTGGTATTAATATGCGTAGACTTAAGGTTTTGGTTTCTTATGATTTCTTATCTGATATCATTTAGCTCTGCATCGGATAAAATTTTTCGTGCAAGTATTTGCCTAATTTGATCCGCTATTATTAATTAATAGAGGTAACTGTAACCAGGAGAAAATTTTCTTTCCAGTGAGTTAGTATCTTACTTCTATATCCTGTCTTTTCCGTTTCCAAATTTGAAGCCAGATACTAAACATAAATGGCTATATTCATATCGCGTCTTCATTTCATACGCTGAGACCTATTCTTCTGGCAGGTGGATATATTCTATGTACAGGAGCCCGATCGGTCTCCAAGCTCGAATCAGATGTTGTTAATCCTCAGGATGCCGGTCTTACGGGTCCATACGGCATCGGGGTATCGATCTACCTGCCGATGTCGAGAGCTGGTGATCCATTCCCTCCCCCAGCGCAGCCCTTACTCTGGATTCGTCCGGGGCAATTCTTCTGTTGTTAGTGGGTAGTTTGAATTTTATATCTGCTGCCAGGTCTTCCTATGTAAGGTAGCCTCAGGGTGTGTGACCTTGGTGACAGTGATTGTGTTATGGTTTAGTGTAATGAGGGTGAGGTTTGTGGGTGGTGTACTGTGCTCAGGAACCCGAGGATTTGCGAGTCCCCAGCAACTGCACCCATCGGTTGCTCCTTGCGGGTTTATTATTATTATTATTATTATTATTAGGATGTTTTAGCGCATAAAACAGTTTCTAAACAAAATTATTATTGAGCATGACATGAATATTGTTTAGAGGTCCTTCATCGCACCTCACCACTAACATAATGGACGACTATCTTAAGAAGCATCATAGAAAGAACAATTGAGATTTACTCTCAAAAGAAGAGTCATCCGCACTATAACTGGAACGACCTGTAATCATAATACTAACGCATAGCGGGGATGGAACAGTTATGAAATTATTATAGAATCTTATTATTCGATATGTTACGGTCTTTAATTTGGAAAAATCGTTTCCCAACAAACTTGCCGGATGCTCAGTGGAGACGACAGGTTCGCAAAAAAATAAATAAATAAAAAAATAATCAAGAGTCAATTAAGTATTATTAACTATACAACAGGCGCCACGCTATTTAATTTGTTGAATTTGGAAAACCATTAAAAAAAAATAATAAATTCAATTAAAAAAAAAAAGATTAAGACGCGGAGTCAGCTACGAACCTTTGTGTTTAAAAACATATGTTAATTCACCTCATAACCTATCGAACCTTCTTACTTAGTTAATAATGACTTTCCCTAATCCCTCGAATGGGGTTTTACAATTCCTTATTAAACCTAAAAAAAACAAAAAAAAAACAATATTATATATACACAAAACGTGAAAACAAACAGAAGAAAATAAAACTGGCTATTATTAATACTAAAGATGAATCTACTTATTTCTATTGATTTAAATAACTGTTTAAAAGAAATTAAAATTATGAACAAGAAATTAGATTCATAAGAAAACAAAGAAAATACAATTAACTTGAATTACCAAAGAAAATAATATAAAATTATTATAGAACTAAACATTAACCTACAACTATACAACTAACCAATTACAAACATTTGGAAATAAAAATATATAGAAAATAAACTTATATGTACATATTTACAAAATCTCAATGCCCTTTGTCGAAATTGGCACATTGAGTTATCTGAGGAAGCGAGAACTTATTCCAGCTATCGTCGTCAGTGTCTCCCCAGTCCACCTCTTTAAACTGTGAAAATGTTCATTCCCCAACTTGTAAAATCAAACGGCACTCGTCGCTGATAATCACAGGTTCATGGATAGGAAAAGAAAATCCGGTGTATTCCGTAAAACTAAAGTATTTCACACAACCAAATCCTTAGCTTGCCTCAACACTCGGGAGGATCTGCCATCTCTATCTCATTTGTCTTTTGTTTTTCCTATCAATCAGCTGTTGGTTATTCCAATCCGAAATAAAATGAATACTCAAAATTAAGACTTATTATAAACTAATACTAAATATTTAATTTTAAATTTAATCCTCTTCGAGTAAATAAATAAAACTAACAATTATTTTATGAACTAATTTTTTTTTTTGTATTTTATTTTTTGTCACAAATATTTCGTGAAATAAAGAGAAGGAAGTTTAGATGGTAAGGGCCTCTAGCGCGAAGAAATCCATAGGAAACTATGCATGCCTTCACAGTAAACAAGAGACCACGTGGAAATCTAAGCAAACAAGAGCCAAAATAATCAACAGACGTACTGACTCAAGACAGCCACAGGCCGAGAAGGTTGGCTCCAGCGGCCAAAGATCTACATGGGCTGGTTGCACAACCTCACCATTTCAGTCTGATTAACATCTTACGGTGTTTACTTAATACATTGTCCATATGATTGATATATATATATATATATATATTACAAAATGTTTATACTTACGACCAAAAAAAATATAATGCAATCCAACATTAACAGTCATTCTCGAAGCTGATATCCTGTCAGTACAATGAGCAGCTGTGAGGATGTGCCATTTGGTAATGATGGATCCACCACACCCGTTAAGAGACGCCATCCAAGGATACTCGTTCTTACGGGTCGACTTTCCACCGACAATTCTTGCCTATAATATTAATCATCGGATTAAGGATACAAATATTGTAGCCATAATGACAAAAGCTCTTCTTACCGTGTTTCTCCAGCCACAATTGCAGCTGGAATGGATGCGAACAGATCCAGTGCTATTAGCCCATGACAGGCAGACTAGCATCAAACATATTAGCAGCACCTTCATTTCTGAATTTAATAAAAAAACAAAAATTATCAATGAATTTTGTAGGCTTTCAAAAACCGAACAACTCAGTAGGCAGAGAGGCACTATTTTGGATATAGACAGAGTATGGCGTGTACAGTAAATCTGTTCAAATTAACACTGTCCGAAACATACTTTAAAGTGAATTTATCACCCTTCGTCGTAATTCCTGACCACCAATTTATTTTAACTCCATCAAGCATCCCTTCTCCGACACAGTCCGGTATCTTGGTTTTTTCTTAGACAGACGAGTATCGTGGAATCCGCATAGCAGACTTAAAAGACAGGAACCTTGCCGGTTCCTTAATGACCAGCTATATAGACTAAATAGAAAATCTAAACTTTCTATTGAAAACAAATTACTGATCTACAACACAATACTAAAACCCATATCTGGGCATAAGGACTAGAACTGTGGGGGAAAATTAAATTTTCTAACATCAAACACATTCAATTCTTCCAGTTCAAAGTCCTCCGTACAATAGTCTAGACCTCCTTTCTATGTCAACAATAAAACTCTGCATATTGACCTTAACCAGTAGCATGGTCCCTGTCCAGCACAACCCATCAATACAAGCCTCCTCGCAGGTTAAAACGGCAGTGGCCCCTTAATCTTTTGTAACTTGTATATATTGAAGTTCTGGCAATGGCCAGATTCTCCGCTCACATTCTGAAGTGGTTAAGAGAGAAACGCAGAGATCTCCTGCAGCCTCGCTTTCCTCTCCACAAGTGGGAGGACAAGTCTGGTTTGGAGTTCCCATGGGCGATTGTAAATAGTGAAAATAGGTATGCCTGCGTCTAAGATTTTATTTTTATTATTATATTTTCTAGTTTAGAGAGCTAGAAAATATAATAATAAAAATAAAATCTTAGACGCAGGCATACCTATTTTCACTATTTACAATCGCCCATGGGAACTCCGAACCAGACTTGTCCTCCCACTTGTGGAGAGGAAAGCGAGGCTGCAGGAGATCTCTGCGTTTCTAATGCTTGTTATTTTTCTGTCACAAAACAACTTAGTTCGCGCCTCTTGTCCCGAAACTTAAAAATTAGAATCTATAAAACAATTATCTTGCCTGCAGTTCTTTATGGATGCGAAACTTGGCCGCTTACATTAAGGGATGAGCAGCGTCTTAAGGTTTTTGAAAATAAAGTATTGCGTAGAATATTCGGACCGAAGAAGGATGAGTTAACTGGAGAGTTCAGACGGTTACACAACGCCGAATTGCGTGAGCTGTATCCGGGTAATATAATTGAGGTAATTTCATCGCGGCGAATCAAATGGGCTTGTAAAGTTGTTGGGCTTAGTAACGAGAGAATTCCTAAAAAGTTAATATTTGCTGTGCCGAATGGTAAGCGTCCGAGGGGTAGACCGAAGCGAAGGTGGGAAGATTGCATTAAAGCCGATCTGAAGGGACTGGGTTTGGACGGCGAACGGTGGAGGGAGGTGTGTAACAAGCGATTGGTGGTGTCGGCATCGAACCTTCGGGTTCGCTAAGCCTTATTATTATAATTATTATATTTTCTATTATTTTTTGAATTTGTAAATATGGTGTGAATGTGCTGTCCCAATTCTATTTTAAGTGTCCTTAATTGAGATAGATTATAATATTTATCATTAGACAAGTACTCTATTAAATTGGACAACATGTAATATTTCTTTATTCCACCAATTCATGCGCTTATGTTTTCTTGGTATTTTGTGATAACAATAAACCCCCTCTCTCCTCTCGTAACTTCTAAGATAACAGATCCTGAAATGGCACCACCGAGAGCACCATCCATATCGTATACAGTTTTCCTTCCAGTTATCCATTTTCAATAAATGATATTATTAATCTTTTCATTTATTTCATTATTTTTTTCTTGGAGAAACATTACAATCTGTTCTAATTAAGGACACTTATAATAGAGTTCAGACAGCACATTCACACCATATTTACAGAATCATAAATCAATAAGTAAATAACAAAATAATATATAGCCAAATGAGAAGAGAATAAAATATTATATTGAGAGAAGAAAAAATAATAATAATAAAATAAAATGTTTTTTAAATAACAAGTAATCTAATCTAAAAATAAAAAAAATAAGTTAAGGAACGAAATTCGTAGGTGAGCAATGTGATGAAAACGGTCTTAGTTGATAAAGATCTGTCTTTTCTACAATATCCTTCCTCAAGGTAGAACTTTAATCTTATTTCCTAAAGTTAGATATTATATCAGAAATTACTTGATTCGACACAAGTTTTTATAGAAGGTTCACTGATGGTTTAAGGAGAGCCTCTAACGGCCTAATGGAGGCTGGAATATATATACAAGAGTGATGGAGTATCTATACCTCAAGGGCTACAAACAAATTCGTGTAAACGATGGGCCAATTTTCAGCTGGAAAGTCTCAAGTTTTGTGGTCTTTTAAGTGAGTCGTGTTTTTTTTTTTTTTTTGGATCGAAAGCAATAGCTAAAGAAATATTTAATTCAAGTAATAGTGATTTGCTTCATTGATCCAGGTAATTGCTTCATTGTAAAATAGATAAAATATACTTAAAAAAAAAATAAAGCTTATCGTTGTTAAAACCTACCAAAAAGTTAGCAATCGGCACAAACTCTGAAAAGTTAAGCTAAGGTTGATTTGCCCGTCACGTGGACTTGGCTACGGACTACTAGTGCCTCGCGGCTCCCTTGCCCCCCACTCCGTCATCCCATAGTTTGCCCCTCTCCTCGGCCCCTATGATTACTGACAGACCCGGAATCTAATTTGTTACTTGGTGTCCAAAACGTAAAACGTGACTGGAAATTTTAAATTTTGAGCACAATCTTTTTGTAAACCCCTCGCTAATACAAAGCTTCATCACGTTCTGTTGGGAAGAAGACAAATACAAAAATGCAATTGATTTTATTCTAAGGGCCATCGAGTATCCATTTATCTATTTCTCACAAGTTTGTCTTATTTATAGTTAGTAATGCAACCAAGTACTCATATCAACTGCAAGTTCCTAGAGCTGGCAAGAGTTTCCAATAGCTGCATGTATGCTTGGGTTTCTCATTAGAGAGGAAGTCGACTAGGGAATTGTAAAACCATTTAAAGTTGACTTTTGAGCAGCTGAACTTAGCTAAGTTCTGTTTTTAGAAAAATTATAAATTTATTGGGCCTATTTTTATCTAATTATACTACAGATACCCCACATTTACAAAAACTTTTTCGTTTAATATTGATTAATTGTTATTGAATATATTGATTAATTGTCCCTACAAGTTCAAAATGTGTTTAACTTTTCTTAGTTTCTTAATGTGAACAAGTTGATCTAATTAATATAAAAATTGAAATGTGAATAGATCCTTTAATCATTACATATGAGCCAGTATAAATCAAGGAAAAGTTTTAATGAATAAACGCATGCATAATACAAAGAGAACTGCCCACACGAATAAACAATGATCTTAAGAAATAGACATCAAGCATTAAAAGCTTAAGCAAAAAATATCAAGACAAGAAAGCATAGGCATATACTACATAATGTAATATGTAATATAATATAACACTGTATAATATAAATAAAAGACGATACATTCAATATAAATAAAATACGATATATTCAATATAAATAGTTGGTATACTGCACAGTACAGGTATTAGGTTATTTAACTTTGTTATAAACAGGTTTGTTGTGAATATTTTATGCCTCTGTCTATGATGCTTATTTTATTTTTAAAAGATATTTTATTTTATTATTATTATTTTTTTCTTCTCTCAATATAATATTTTATTCTCTTCTCATTTGGCTATATATTATTTTGTTATTTAATTATTGATTTATGATTCTATAAATATGGTGTGTATGTGCTGTCTGAACTCTATTATAAGTGTCCTTAATTAGAACAGATTGTAATGTTTCTCCAAGAAAAAAATAATGAAATAAATGAAAAGATTAATAATATCATTTATTGAAAATGGATAACTGGAAGGAAAACTGTATACGATATGGATGGTGCTCTCGGTGGTGCCATTTCAGGATCTGTTATCATAGAAGTTACGAGAGGAGAGAGGGGATTTATTGTTATCACAAAATACCAAAAAAAATTGGTGGAATAAAGAAATATTACATGTTGTCCAATTTAATAGAGTACTTGTCTATTGATAAATATTATAATCTATCTCAATTAAGGACACTTATAATAGAGTTCGGACAGCACATTCACACCATATTTACAAATTCAAAAAATAAATAAGGTAATTATAAAATAATATACAGCGAAATAAGAACAAAATAAAATAATAATAATAGTAATAATAAATAAATAAAATAGAATTAAAATGTTCTTAAAAAAAAAATAATAATAAAAATAAAATCTTAGACGCAGGCATACCTATTTTCACTATTTACAATCGCCCATGGAAACTCCGAACCGGACTTGTCCCCCCACTTGTGGAGAGAAAAGCGAGGCTGCAGAAGATCCCTGCGTTTCTCCCTTAACCACTTCACTGGTATTAAAAACTAAAGGAGCCTGAGTAATCGTGCTATAACCAAAGACACTCACGACTTGAGTGGAGGATCTGGCTATTGCCAGAACTTCAATATATACATGTTACAAAAGATTATGAGCAAGACCATGACTGAGTTTGCAAGACCAAGACTCGTCTCGGTCTCGCATTTGGGCAACACTAACTGTCAATTATTAAGCTGTTATTTTCCATTGTAAAGTTTACTAAAACAAAATTACGAGATTTTCATTGCCTGACATAGATAGGTCAAAAGTTTTCTCTCTAATTGTAAGTGGATAATGTTGGGATTTAACTAAGGGAAAAATCCCTCAAATTATTCACTAATTTAATTTTCTAAAAGGTTGATTGATGATTTTTTGGAATAAACGGCCGATAGGTACCTAATTATTTAAATGTAATATCTTATCGGAAGGCAGTGGATCAGCTGATGCGAAGGTCGTATTCTGAAATCTTCTCTCAGTTTTTGCCTATTTTTCAGCGGAATCTATTTGATTATTTACTGAATACAGTTGAAGTGTACATCACAGCAGTTGTTATTTACTGTTTGCTACATTTTGTTTTTTTTTAATTATTAATTTTTTTTTCTCTTATGATATGCCGCATTGGCAGCAAGTGATGTCCAGTAAGGTGCCCACTAAGAGGACTCGGTCAGACGGTGTTACTACCCCTCGTGATTCACCAGCGAAACAAAGAACTCGTCGCTGCCTGCGAGAAATAGCTCCAATAACCACAGTGAAAACTTCAGGTCCAGAACTTCAGCCTCAACCAGGTACCTCTTCGCAAGAAATGGTTGAAGAATCTCCTTTCTTCACTCCAAACCCGTTCCAAGTGCTTCATAATGAAAGAGAAATAATGGAGTCAGCAGCAATATCCAGGGAACCAAGGCCTCCTCCGATATTTGTAAAAAATATCAAAAATTTCCAACTACTGTGCACACAACTAAACGAAATCTGCTCCGGCAGTTATTCTTGCCTCAACAGGACTAACGACACAAAAATAACACCTGATACTGCAGAAGCCTACCGAAAAATTGTGAAGCCTACCTGTCAGAAACTAATGCAAATTTCCACACGTACCAGCTGAAACAGGAGAGATCGCTACGAGTGGTGGTAAGAAATGTACACTCCTCAACCCCAACTGAAGTGATAAAACTAGCAACGCTTGGTTTCAAAGTGCGTCAGGTAACCAATGTTCTGAAGGAGAATAAGGAGCAACCAGGAGTAAGTAATAAAGTTCCACTACCTATATTTTTCGTGGATCTAGAGCCATCACCTGGTATCGAAAAGATATATGATATCAAGAGATTGTACTACACTATCGTGAAGATAGAGAAGCCATACCCCAAGAAGGAAATTGTGCAGTGCCACAATTGCCAGGCGTATGGCCACACGAAAACTTATTGTCACCATCTTCCGCGTTGCGTAAAATGCGGTGAACAGCACAAATCTGTGGAGTGACCAAACCGTTACAAGATCCTGCAGTGTGTGCACTATGCCAGGAGGGACACCCGGCCAACTACAAAGGCTGCCAAACCTATAAGAGTCTCAAATCCAGATACCAGAAGAACCGGATTCAAGATGAGACAACCAGACCAAGAAGAGAACCTTCTAGAATTGTAAATAATAATTTATCATACTCCGAACTACTTGGAGGTAAGAACCCAAATAATACATGTGAAGCCCTGCCGCAGCAACTACCTCAGCCCCAACATCAATATTCTGTTCATCCTAACACACATAATCATCAACAGCCTCAAATTCTTCATATTCCTCCTCCTTCAAATGTAACAGATCTCACCAGTTTGTTAGCATCTTTCCTCAACGATTTCAAATCTCTAGTTACTCCACTCATATCACTCCTTACAAATCTCATATCTCACCTCATCCCTCCTTTAAAAAATCCTTAATGGCTCACATCCCAAAACCCATGTCCATTCTCCTTTGAAATGCGAATGGTGTTAGAAATCACGTTGACGAACTAACAGCTTTACTACAAGACAAGAACATTGACGTAGCCCTAATTACAGGAACTCGACTGACCATAAAACAGCATTTAAAAATCCCACAGTATATAACATACCGTACTGACCATCCTGACGGTAAAGCACATGCCGGTACTGCTGTCATCGTACACCAATCCCTCTCCCATCACTTACTCCCATTACCTACTCAAGATTTTCAACAGTCAACCGCTATTGTAATCAAAACCTTCTCCTTTCCAGTCACCCTTGCATCAGCATATTGCCCTCCTAACAGATCCACATCCAAAGTCCAGTTCAGTTATCTCCTCAACTCCTTAGGTCATCATTTCATCCTGGGTGCAGACTTAAATGCCAAGCATCAAGTTAGGGGTTCAAGAACCACGAATTCTCGTGGCAGAACAATTCTGTCTGCACTCAATACCCAACGTTTCAGTCTCCTTCCACCCAACTCACCAACCTAGTGGTCCACTGATCCTAACCGCAATCCTGATATCCTTGATTTTTTCATCCACAGTGATTTAGGTCGCCTCAATCATTCCCTTACCCGTCTTGACGAACTTTCCTCAGATCATAGTCCATTATTACTCCAATTATCTCTAGCTCCTATTCCTAAGTCTTCTCCACCGTCCTTCATCAGAGGCCCAGTTAACTGGAAACTCTTTCACCAAATCCTTTCCGATAAAATTGACCTCAGAATAACCCTAAAAACCCCAGACGACCTTGACAATGCCGTACACCTTTTCACCACCACTACCCAACAAGCAATCTGGACTGCTTCCTCTCCAAACCACTCCTCAAGAACTCCCAAGAAAAATAAGTTACCTCAACACCTCATAGACCTAATCCATACCAAACGCCGCGCCAGATTATTATGGCAACGTACTAGACACCCCATCGATCGTCGCTCCTATAATTTTTACAGTAAACAATTAAAGCAGGAATTGGCCACTTTCAAATCCCAATCCTTCAACTCCTACCTTACTTCCCTCTCTGTTCATGACAATTCCCTATGGAAGATCACCAACAAAATCCTAAATTCCCATCATATTTCCCATCCTCTCCATAGAAGCGATGGCTCCTGGGCAGCGTCTGATGAAGATAAAGCTGAGGAATTCGCCAGACACCTCTCCAGAATATTTACCTCTCATCCAGAATCCAACCTCACCAGCA